GCTTATAGCTTGTGAATGCAAAGCAGCAGCTTGAATAGTTTAAATTCAATATTAATCGATTTTTTAATACTTTTTTCAGATACTCATGTTGTTAGATTCAAGTAAAGATATTGTCCAGGTAATAATCACGATGCTGAATATCTGATATGCTCTTTTTCTTTGATCGAATTATTTTCACAATTAGGCCTTACTAATCGATATCTTTGTCCTCCCTTATCATCACTTTTGCTCATTTATGTTTCTTGTCCTTGTTGCCCCACATCAAGCATGACGCAGAGGAAATAAAAACGACTGTCGAGTTCGCAATAAAAAATATTTATTATTTTGGTTATTTTTTCTTTATAACCTTGAGTAGTTCTTCCATGTTTTTATAGCATTTGTTGTGTTTCCAGGAAAGTACATTACTGATAATTCACCGTCTGAGCAAAGTTTTCATGAATGCCAAGCAGTTTCTATTGCACGGTGGTCTAGATGACTTGATCTACTTAATGTTGATGGGATCGACTGAGCAAGTGCAGTTACAAGCTGTTCGTTGCATCGATAAGGTATATACTATCCCTTCTTCTGTGTTTAGATTTTCTTTGRAAGATTCTAACATCTAACTCTAATGTCTTTAACATTTTTTGCATTATATAAACATTTCTACAGCTTACGGAGCGGGAAGAACTTGCTGAATTATGGATGCAGACGATGGTGATATCTGGTACAGAGGCTCTCTTTGATGTTCTGTCGTCCGAGGAGGTTACGTCCGAAGATCTTCGCAACGCGGCTCTCAAAGCCATTGCTAATATCGGTAGCAATCAAAAGATGGCGGCCAGGTTGCTTGAGTTCGGATTAGAAAAAGTTGTTCAGCTGATCTGCTGTGAGGTATGTAAGAGTTAAATAACATTTTGTGCACTTGAAAATGAAAGAAAAAACTTACCAAAACAAAATGAAATGAAACAAGAAACTCAGCAAAAAACGTATAAGAGGCAATAACAAGGTGGCGGCCATGTTGCTTGAGTTTAGTGTGAAAAATGGTCAATTATTTGGTAAGAGAAACAACAACAACATCGTACAAAACAAACTTAATAAAAAATAAGGTGTTGCAACTATATATCTTCAACATTAAAGATGGAATCATTAAAGTATTTCCGGCTTTAATTCAATCATGACCAGACTCAGTTTTAATTCAAAAACGTACGAGTATACTGAATGAATATTTTTAAATAATATAATATTTTTAAACAACATTAAAATGTTGTTTACATTAAAATGTTGTTTACAGCGTTTGATTTCTTTTAAAACTTGCGCAAATAAACAACAAATGATGTATTTTCTTTTTAGAATGAGAAATACGAGCCTAGAATATCGCCTGCGTCACAGGTAAGGTTTTCTTATAAATAATAAACAATTTTGATGTGTGCAAATATAGAGTTTCTGTTTTCCGTAAGTAAYATACCTRTGTGCCAACAGGGTTTTAAGTTCAGRATTTCTTTACAGAGATTGGTTTTACAAGCGTTGACAAATATTGTTTCTCATAATTGCTCGATGGCTGAGCAATTTCTCGAGAAATATAATGACGTTGTGGAGGGAATTCTTAGAATATTACAGTATTCTGAATGGTAAGCACTATAAAAGCAAAATTAAGAAGTATATTCATTGAGTATTGCACCTTTCGGATAATTTGCAAATTTTGTTTTTCAGTCCACAGCAGCAGGAAGCCGCACGTTTCTTAGCAACCATTACACTATTCAAGCCATCTATTGACTCCATCATTTCKCATTATGCAACTCATCACCTTATATGGGCAATGACCTGTTCGCATTGTAGGTAGGTATGCAACGATGAATTGCSAGATGCATATCATGATAATAGTTTGAAAATTGTACGCCCATCGTGGTTAGCCAACATCAGTGAAGTCTGTTTATTCCCAAATACYAAAAGGCATGCGTTGTTGATCTCYGCCCATAAAGGCGATTTCAATGTTTCAGRGTGAYTAAGCCAACTCAGTTCCTTCGATGKAAAGCAATTTAGCTTAAATTTGTCATTTTGTAACCCCACTTACTTGGAWTCCAAGAGTAACAATGCAATGCGGTCTYGGAATACAACGCTATGCARTATCCAGTATATGTACTCAACCTTTTTGAAAWAGCTGTACTGATATCAATATGTCAGCAGTGCTTAATGCTCAATGTTACCGCCATCGGACCTTATACTCTTCAATCATACAGTAATAATAGACGTTACTGTTAGTTATTCAATTTYCCATGTTCCGTTTCAATCTGTAGCTAACCCTCAATGTTCTATGACTTTGAACACACAACAAAGGGTTATTCAATTGAAAGTATTGAAAGTATACAATTTTATATTTGCAGAATAGTGCGTGAATACTCAAGCAAAGCATTTAAGAATATAGCTCTCTGTAACGACAAGGACAAGCTATTGAATGCGCTGAGCCAACTATCAATGCCAMAAAGCAGTCAGTCTKATAACGATAGCCTTAGCACAGAATCTATGCTTGAAATACTGTCCAACTCGACCGAACAAAATAACATGGCTAAAGTCATCAACACTGTCAAGAACCAGATTTCATGCACRGCRCTGGAGAAAGTTATGGTCGARGTCTTTTCGGTTGTTTGCGTTTGTTTTCAAACGGACTCTATCCATTTGAGTGGAAAAACAAGAACGTTTAGGAATGGCTTAGATACAAGACAAAGAAGTAACGATAGTTTCACGAATGAGAGTTATTTGAGCAGTTTAAGAGTATTGTGTAATATTCTGGTTGCTATTCAGAAGCTTATTTGTTTGAAAGATGCAGAAGAAGCTTGYTCAGCGGAGRCTGGGTAAGAGTTATCTCAATAGACCATTTGAATCTTAGGGAATATGCAGGGGTAGGGGAGGGGGCTGTTTGMCTTCATCTGCCTAGAAACGTCCTCTTCARGTAAGAATGTAAATATACAAWCTCCACATATAATTGATAAAATTTTAATTTTCCATTCGCAGTGGAAATCTAAAATTGGCATCCCTTTATGTCCAATGTGGAGGCCTCCAGTTTATTGAACAGCTGGCATTCCTCAGTACCAAGCTCCAAACGGTCAACCTTCCGTCTTTCCACTCAATTGACCCRACAATTCTACCTCCAAAAGAACTGATAWCGACCTTGAAATCATCCAGGACAGAGCTTATATTCCAMCATAATAAACCTCAAAATARGACATYTAWAGACACTGATTTTGGCTTCMAYCMATGTGAAATTCAGTTCCTTCAGCAAGCTTTAAGCTTACTGGTTGTTTTGGGGCAAGCTATTTCTCCAGACTTTGATCCAGCTTTAGAAGACTTAAAGGTTTTTTCGTATAGAAGACAAGTCATTGGGAGAAAGAAGATTTCGTTTCGTACGTCTGCTCTTATGGTTCAAAGTGTAGTTAAGATAGGGAAATTGTCTTCACATATAAGTGGAATTGAGGAGAAATCGGTTAGCTCCAAAAGAAAATCATCGTCTGCAGTCAGGAAGTCAAGTCAGAGGTAGGAATACTTTGTTGAAAGGAGCTTGTTGTTAAACCTTTTTAAAAAGCTATATATTTATACTTTGAGAGGTAGAAGTGCGTGAAAGACCTTCAACTATAATAATAAGCGTAGCATAACTACCATATCACACAAAAAAGACAAAAAATGGGYTCCAATTTTTATAGATCGACAACGAGAACAAAGAGTCCAGATACTACGAAAAACAGACCTTCGAAGGGAGAGTTGACCGCGCCACCCATAACGAT